ATCGCTTTACACAAAATTGGTGGCTCTAAAAAGGCAGCCTTTCTCAAGAAAATGAGATGTGACAAGTTCATTTAAAATGCCTATTTTGTCATTGTTTATCTCATTTTCAGAGTTGGCAAAGAAAATTAGGCTGGCTGACACTCACCCACTAGCATCTCCAGGCCTCTGACCTGACCTGGCTGGGGCTGAATCTTTTGCCCCGAAAGTGTGGACTTTCCCCAGAGCTTAAAGGAGATGCTTGAGCTGTTCCTTTCTACGGCCCTGGAGCCCAAGAGAAACTCCCAGCAAAATGCTGGGGAAATTGACACAGCTTTGCCTTTCACGGGCGAGTGGAGAGTGATTGTTTTTATTGCTTCCTGATAAATTTGGGCCACCGTGTAGGATTAAGATCATGTTGGATCAACAGAGATTTCTTAATGGAGAAAATGGTATATAGTAGGTTAATTAAGCAAGGAACTAGTAAAAAGTGAGGAAAGTTAAGGGGTGTATTTCTTAAAAATTATAGAGAAGTAAATATGTATCTCCATTTTTAACATTCATTGTCTCATACCTAATACAGGCAGCCCTCGACTTACAATAGTCCACGTAGTGACCATTAGAAGTTACAACAACACTGAAAAAAGTGACTTACAACCATTTTTCACAATGATGACTGTTGCCGCATCTCCACGGTCAAAACTCAGATGCTTGGTTCCTATTTTAGGACGGTCGCCGCGTCCCAGGGACACATAATCCCCTTTTGCCACCTTCTGACAGGCAAAGTCAATGGGGGGGGGGAGCCAGATTCACTTAACAACCCTGTTACTAACTTAACAACTGCACTAATTCACTATTAACAGCTGTGGCAAGAAAGGTTGTAAAATGGGGCAAAACTCATTTAGCAACTCTTTCGCTTAGTTTCAGAATTGTTGGGAGTCAATTCTGGTCATAAGTTGAGGACTACCTGTATTTGCCTCCTGGGGCCTTATGCAGGTCCATCCCCTTCACAGAGAGTCTCACAGTGGCTTTCAGCTGCTCACCTTAAGTTCTGGCCTTGTAAGAATGTCGCCTTGATGTGACAGTATCTTCCATCTTCACGTCCCGCCTTGCAGCCCTTGAAGCGTCCTCTCCATGAAGGCAGGGATGTTGTCCAATACTGCCAGAAAAAGCTCTGGATTAAAGAGACAAGGAAGGGCCACGGGACTGAAAGCCATTTTAGGGCTAAGACCAGGAGAAGGACTGAACAGCAGCCTTGACCAGGGGCAGGTGCTGAAGTTGGAGGCGAGCCCAAAGAATAAGGCCCCCGGGTGCCAAGTGGAGGAGGAGCCAAGATATTCCTCTGACCAGTTAGCTTGGCCTTTCCAACCTTGATGGCCTCCTTAGCCATTGACTCTTAACAACAGCTCTGCTGGATCTAGGAATTCTGAGAGGTGAACATCTGGAAGGTGCCACAATTGGGAAGCATTGGATTAACTGTTGGCCCCTCCCTTCTTTAAAGTGAAGCTTGTGGGATACCTCTGCAACATCAGCTCCAGCTCAGGTTGCAATAGCGGAGGGGCCAGATCCCTCACCCACAAAGTCTCTTGTCTGGAGGAGCGTTCACTGCTATAGAAAATGTGTTTTAGACTTCTGCGCATTTACATTTCTGCACCATTACTTGATAAAATGAAGGGAATCTCTACTGGGATATTTAAGAATTGTGGACTTTTTAGATCTGGAGCAATATTATTCAGGAATAAAGGGCCTCCCTCCCCCTCCCCCTGAAGCTGGTGAAGCGCACAAGGACCCCCATTCTCTTTTTTTCCCTCTCTTGTTTTCCATTACTTCCTTCCATGCTTGTTGTGTTCTATTTGTTTCTTCGTTCTTTAGAAATGAGAATGTCGGGTTAACAAATGGGGTCTGTCTCTTTCTAACTGCCTGGAACTTCATTATACCTGCACGAACTGCCAGCTCTATTTCCTTGCCGTTGGCTTGTTCTTGTGCCCAGACCCCTGCCCTCCAGCCTCCTCTCTGCTTCTTCCTGCCCCAGCAGAATCCCCCCCCAAGGGGGGAAACATTGAGACAAAGGTGATCAAGGGCAACTGTCTCTGCTGCTGCTCCCTTTTCTTTTGCTCAAGCTGCCCTTTCTTTTTTTGAGGGGGGGGGGCAAAGAGACCTTGCCCTGAGGCTGGGCAGCTTGGCAAGTGGAACCCACCTGCAGGGGATCTTTTTCTCCCAGCCATTCTTCGGCAGTGGCTGCTGGGCTTTTCATACATGTTGTTTGTTAGGTTGCTATCCCACCACATCTCATGACTCTTGGCCTGTCACAATCGTTACAAAAGATGACAATAAAACATTGAAGTTGAAATTGCTCCACCAAAATCACATAATGCAACCAAAACGTTGACTTCACACCAAAGTTCTCCAGAATAACATGGCTCATTAATTTTTCAGGAGTCTTCATTCCAAGGAAACGTTCTATATCAAGGTCCAGCAATGTCCCTCAAAGCAGCCCCCCATAGGGTCAGACCCACCCTAGATAGAGGGGCTGTCACAGAGGCTTTTGTCCAAAGCACCTGAAGGGCAATGGGTGAAAGCTCCTCAGAGGGAGATCCAGCTTGGAAATAGAGTAAGGAGGAATTTCCAAACGGTGAGAACAATTAACGAATGGAGCAGCTTGCCTCCACCAGAGTTGTGGCTGCACTTTCGTTGGAGGTTTTCAAGAAAAGACTGGACAGCCATTTGATTGGAATGGAGTTTGGTCTCCTGCCTTGGGCAGAGGGTTGAACTGGAAGACTCTGAGGTCCCACCTAGCCCTATTCTTCTGGGTTCTGTAGTGGAGAATGTTTATTTTTTTTAACATGTTTTTCCAAAGCTCTTGCCAGCCATAGGAGACCCAAGAAGGCAAACACTCCCATGTTTGCCCTCAACTCTCTTCCAAGGACTGGAATTTTGGCTTACTGTTCAGTTGCCAGTGGTGGCAACAAACGACTTGGCCCATTTTTCTCGGAAAAAGGAGATTTGTGCTGGAAATCCGCGGATTCTGCCTAATGGCTGATCTTACTATAGCTCTGGGAATCTGCTCCCTTGTCTTCAGCCTCTTGATTTGTTCCTTGACTCTTGTTGGGTTTGTGACTGCTTATTTAAAAGGCAAGACAGGTAATTTCAGCCTTGACTGTGAAGGAGGGCATCTTTTCTGTTCCTCCAGGGATCTCCATGAGTTTACAAACAGTTAAGCAAATTTAACCTTGTGGCATTTGGTGAAGAGTGATCAGTGTAAGGAATCTGGGTCCTGAAGAAATAAACATGGGATTTGAGCAGAAGGACATGGAGAGGGGGGGCAGAGGGGTTTGGTTTGGGTCCTGACAAATACCATATTAGGCAATTAAAAAAAACATGCTGAAAGCTAAAAGTATACACATTCTTTCCTTTCCTCAATTCCTTCTTTTGTAAGAATCTAGATCAGAATTTTTCAACCCTGGCAAGTTTAAGATGTGTGGACTTCAACTCCCAGAATTCTCCAGCCAGCATTTTACCTTCTCCTGAAGGTAAAATATTTGTTGGGTTCTTTGGTTTCTTCTTGCACAAAACTATCTAGATCAGTGTTACTCAACCTTGGGAACTTTAAGATGTGTGGATGTCAACTCCCAGAATTCCCTAGCCAGCCATGCTGTCTGGGGAACTCTGGGATTTGACGTCCACACATCTTAAAGGTTGAGAAAAATTTATTTAGAGGCAGGGGGAAAAAACAAGGCAGGGAACACTATTCATCAGAAGAAGGAAAGATTTGAAGTCAAGCAGGGGTGGCTATGGTGCATCTGAGGACACACTTACCCTGGGACAGAAATGGGGGAATTTAGAATAATCTGAAAGGCCTTCCTAAGCTTTAGTGGAGGAGGCACGTTGTTCCCCTCAGGTCCAAAGAGGAGATTAAATAAATCTCCATCTTCCTAATGTGATTACACCTCAAAGCTTCTTCTTACTAGCCTTTTCCTCTCTCCCTGTCCCCAGACCATCTGTGCATCCCCCCCTCTGTGCCTGACTGCCCTTTTTCACACCGGCCCTTCAGCCCAACTGGCCTCAGATTTCCTGTGTATTAAGTTGTTCATTTTGAAGGAAGTTATGTGTTCTGGAGAAAAGTAAATCAAGTCACTTAGACCTCTAAAAGAAGGCGCTAGTTGCACATTTTCAAAATTATTTCACAGCTCCCCTCTCATCCCAAATCTAAGAGTAGAGAGGCACCTTAGAGAACAGTCCTGTTGCACAGCCTTCTGAGAGTAGGACATCAGGCATTACATGCCGGTCTCATGTGGCCCAACACAAAGCACAGAAGCTGGTAGCGTCAGACGAGGCTTTCAGATCTCTGCTTCTGCTCTTTGCTTTTCAACCTTCGCAGTAATTCAGAACCCTAGAACGGTGTTTCTTATGCTCAATCACTTGAAGATGTGTGGAGTTCAGCTCCTAGAATTCCTCCACCAGCATGGCTGGGGAATTCTGGGAGTTGAAACTCACACACCTAGTTGCCGTGGTTGAAAAACACTGCACTGGGGGTTGTCTCCTTTTGCCTTCTTAGATGATCCTGGACTCAAGAAAGGAAAGGGGCTTCTCCGTGGCTTCCATCTTTTGTCTCTGTGTAATTGCAGAGCCCATATTTTCTCATGACTTTGTGACCTGGGGATGAAATATGAAATGTATCAAAATTAATACAGGAGAATGTTTCTAGAACGTGGGAAACCTATTTGTCTTCTCTTCAGCTGCTTGAAAAGCCCTTCTCAATTCCCAGGATGTATTTGTGTGCTCAAATTGAGCCTTCAAAAGAAAAACACACAGTTTATTTTTAAACTTTTAAAAAACCCAGAGAGATTGATAGTTATACATAAGGTACATATTTCAGTGATAAAACTCCCTCCTTTTTTTTTAGTAGACTGGTTCACAGTCGGGATTTCTTGCAAAAATCTTTAGTAGGGTGACAAGAATCTTGCATTTCCTTCACTTCTCAGCTATTTGACCCTCTTGACTGAAGCCGCTTTTTGTTCTTTTAGGGCCACCTCTTTATTGTGCAGTACAATGATGGGAACGCTGAAGTTGTCTCCATGTGGGTGTGCCGGACCCTGGAGGAGAGGCGTTTGCAGCAACAGGGATCCCAGTGAGCGGAAGACATGTGCTCTCTGAAGAGCTTCCCAGCAAACACATTTCACAGCTGAGCCTGCCGTGATCCCCTTTCTTCAAGCAATTCAGTGGATGTCCTTTGCCACTCCTCTCTCACTGCCTCCTGCATCCTTAAGACAATAGGAGCATATATTTTATTAAACCGAATGTATATATATTGGCCTCCAAGTATTTTATACACTTTGGGACCTTTGCTAGCTACCGTAAATATAAGGACATGAGCAGAATGGAGGTGGCCATCCTGTGGACCCAGTCATGTGCCTGCTTTGGATTGGGATTTGAAATTGAATTCTTAGATGATGGACCAGTGAAACAAAATGGATCAAGATGAAAGAATAAAAAGGTGTAAGCAATATCTGCCAAAGAGTATGTGCTAAATTTATTTTTGGAAGAGACAATTGTGTGCTTACACTCTCCTCTATACCCATTCTTTGTGTAGGATGAGGTGGACACCAAGGACATCGGGAGATTTTAGCAGAAGATAAGGGGGGAAAGTTGGATTGGGTTTTTATTTGTTGATGATGTTGTTATTACGTTGAGCAGTAGAACAATTCCTTGGGATTGAATAAGTCTAAAGTTCATTCTTAGGGGAATTCTTGCCTGAACTGCAGAAGAGATGCTGCTGGCCATGGTTGATAGCAAAGTTGGACCCTTCGATGGGAAAATTCCTTTGTTCCTATTCAGCAAGCCTAAAATATACTTAAGTAACTGATATCGCTCTCTCTCTCCCTCCCTCCCTCCCTCCCTCTTTCTCTCCCCCCCCACCCACTCACACAAATGTTGCCTGAGGCTGATGTGACTTATCATTCATTTATTCAATTACCGTATTTTCCGGTGTATAAGATGACTTTCTAAAGCATGCAAATCATCTCCGAAGTCAGGGGCCATCTTATACGCCGAGTCGTCTTATATGCCGGAAATTATGGTAGTTTCTGGCGTATAAGACGACTTTCTAGGCATGCAAATCGGCACCGAAATCGGGGGTCGTCTTATACGCCGAGTCGTCCTATACGCCGGAAAATATGGTAAATGTGTGCACTTGTGCCACCAACACCAGTTAAAGCTGCAATAGCTACTTGTTTAGAACACCAGGCTAAATTTAGGCTGGGCAGTTGGCGACTCGTCTGGGAATCCATAAAAGTGGCTTCCTGACTTAGCAAGCTGTAATGTTTTATTACCAGACATGGATAATACAGTTCCTCTGTTGGTTCACAAGGTTAAGGGGAGGTGGCGATTGCATCTTCTTACCTAATTCAGGGTTTAGTCTCTTAGATGAATCTCAATGATCCCGGTGATGAAGTCTATCCATTAACGTCGCCAGATGGAGTCATGTGTCAAATGGAGGCCAATTCTAAGAAATGAGGCTGGGAGTTCCGCAATCCTTTGATGTCCTAACCTTCAGTAGCTGCTCTGCAAAAAGTTCAGGTCTCTACCAGAAAGAACAGACCAAAAACAAGAAGAAGGAAATAGTGCTGTAATCCAGCCCACCAACGACCAGCGGCTCTGGCAAGCAGTCTGAAAGAAATCCAGCCTTCGATGGAAAGCAAGGTTTCTCTGCACCCTAAACATGGATCTGTTGCAGATGGTTGCGTCGTAGACTGCCCTACTCAATGTTTGCCCCTTTTCTAAATAATTACGACATTAAAAGACTATGCTGAAAATGTAAGAATTTGGGTCTTTTTCACTGTCTAGTCGTGTCCAACTGCAGAGCGCAGCACTCAGCTGTTTCTTAGCTGAGAGCCGGTTGTTGTCCAAAAAGGTTTCTGTGGTCATGTGGCCAGCATGAGTATATGCCAAAGGCACACAGAATGCTGTTACCTTCCCACCGAAATGGTACCTATTTATCTACTCACATTTGCATGCTTTCGAACTGCTAAGTGGGCAGGAGCTGAGGCAAGGAACGGGAGCTCAACCCGTTGCACGGTGCTCGGGTGTCGAACCTGGGCTGTCAGCCTGACAAGCTCAGCATCTTTAACTGCTGAGTAATCATGTCCCTCATGTTTTTGTTAAATCACTAATATTTCATTATTGTTTTAAATTTGCTTTAGAATAGAAACTTTATTTAGTTATTTGACCATATCAAAAATTGAAAGAACTATTGCAAATATATAAATAGATACAAAGAAAAAAATAAAACATGTTCATAGTAAGCTGTCTTCCCAACAACCCCAATCTTATCTAAATATGCTCTTCTCTTCAAAATAGCATTTGAAATAAAGAGTGCAGGCTTACCAGTGATGTGCAGGTTCCTCCTTTGCAGAATGTGGTATGTTCTTGAGTCTTTTACATGTGCCATTATTCTTTTTAACACATTCCAGTTCCTCTGCTATTGATTCTTGGGGAAGCCCTCCAGAAGGCCCCTGTCTTGGGGTGGCTGAGAGCAAGCAACATTGCTTACTGAGAAGGCTCTGCTTGTGGTGCTCCATCACTTGAGATCTGGAGAGGGTCCAAAAGGGTTGGAGGCCTTTTGTGGCAAGAAACAACTTCTGAACAATTACAACTCCAAACCATTCCTTCAAAGGCAGCCTGGAAAAGGCTCTGCTTCCTTCCTTGAAAGGATCATCAATCTCCAGGTGAAGGATAGAGATTGCAGGTGTGAACTTACAGACAAAAGTTTGTCTTAATTGCTGCAATGTCACAGCCTCTCTGGCAGATAACAATACAATGAATGACTCGATGTGACTGGTGGCTGCAGGTGCTTTTTCTAAAAGTGAGACAAATTTCCTTCCCTTCAACCAGCTTTCTTTCTTTTACTTCTTTTCTAACATAGAGCACTCTGGTCTAATATTTCTGATTAATTTAATTTTAAAATCTCATTAAGTTCCCCATTTACTAACATTAAGTTTTTTGGGAGCAAAGAAGACAGTTGCATGTTTTTGAACCTCTTTTCATTTATCATCCGTACCTCAACTATTGATAATCCACACTGATTCTTTAAGCATGTTTTTAAGTGAACAATGTGTTCTGAAAATGTCAACATTCAGTGACAGCCCCATTAATAAAGATGTTTTGGATCTGATTATCTGATAATGCTTTATAATTAGCCATTTACCCATTGCATCAAGCTTGAATTAACCTGTTACAAAAATGACCTCAATTGGGATGTACAAGGTAATATATAAAATGTGAACAGTCTGTTGTTACATTTGTTGATTATCATATAAATTTCATCTTGCATACCTGCTTGGTTTGGTAATTAAATGCAATATTTTCCCTCTTTCTCTCCATAATGCATAAGGATCCAGCAAACCCTAGTAAGTCAAGAAGAATAGTGAAAAAAATGGGACCACAATTAAATATAAAGACAATGAGCTGTCAGCTTTAGAATTGAGAATTAAGATACTGAAGTGGTGAAAAGCTTCTGCCTTTCAGGATCATCAATAGTAAAGGAACAAGTCCTCCAGAGCTGAGTAGAGACGCCAGGAGGCCTTGGAAGGGAGATTCAGATGCTGGGATATATCTATTTCTACAAAAAAGCAAATGGTGCAGGCAATGATATTCACTGTGGCATTTTATGGAAGTGGACTTTGAAGAAGCAGGATAAGAAGAACATTGATGCTTTTGAACTGTGGTGTTGGAGAAGACTCTGGAGAGTACCTTGGACAGCCAAGAAAATAAACGGATCATCAAATAAATTAATGCAGAGTTCTCACTTGAGACATCTTTAGCATCTTAGACTGCTGCCCATAACACCCTCTTTCCCTCAGCTCTCGATATTCAGAGATCTGATGGGAAGGAGAGGAAAACGTCAGTTCAGTCCCTAGAATCACAGAATAAACATGTTGGAAGGGACCTTGGAGGTCTTCTAGTCCACCCCCCTGCTCAAGCAGGAGACCCTAGACCATTCAGGAGAAAAGGCTGCCCTGTCTCTTCTTAAAAGCCTCCAGTGATGGAGCTCCTGCAACTTCTGGAGGCAAGCATGGATTAATTGTTCTCACTGTCAGGAAATTATTAAATCTAAATTTAACATAAATTTAAATGTAAATAAATTGTTAAAGTTAAAACTGTTGGATTGCAGGGCCTGGTTCTATATTTAGGATGAGAAATGTCTAGAATATCCATGTCTTGCTTAGTAGTATTTTTATTTTTTAAAAAAAAACTTATTTCTGCAATTTATGTTGTAAAAATTGAATGTCAACCATTTTATATGGCATCTACAAGCTTGTGTCTGTTCATTTCAGATGTGCAGTTGCTCAAAATTATTTTTGTTTTCTAAGGAGTCACTGGGGCTTTTCTTGAAGTTTTGCATTTGTTAAAACTCTGCTCCAGAGAAAGATATTCTGCCTGTTTAAAAAGTAACTTTATATTTCCTGGAGTCCCCAAATGCTTTAATTTGGACAAGTTATTTTCAAGCGCAGGGTGCTGAGGGGAAAAACGTTTCTTGCCTCCTTTTTTTCACAGCCCCCCCCACTGCCAGTTTGCCAAGGGCAAAGCGTCATTCTTTGTTTTCTCAACAGCAGTTTGAAAAAGCTCTCTTGGTGTGCGAATTTATTGACACAGAGAACAATTCACAGAAAGGATCAAACTGTGACTTGAAAACAACCACCAAAACAGCAAATCTTAAACTCTTCCGGCTGAGGCACAAATTCTCTTTTGGATGAGTTCACACACGACAACATCCACTGTGCTCTGACTGTGCTTCATCACTAGATGTCCTGAAATATTTAATTGGAAATCTTTGGGTCAGTCTGGTTCCCAGATCACAATCCTGCATGTTTATATTGGTTCTCTCACCCACCCACCCACCCACCCACCGCCTGAGCAGCAGAAAGCCCTCTTGCTCATGAACTAGCAAAACCTAAAAACTTGCAGTGTCCCAAGATTTGTCCCTTAAGGCTTAAGCAACTCTTCCGGGGAGCAGAAGACAGCCTGATGTACAAAGGCTGAACTAAGTGCTACCTTCCCTGATGATCCACTTGCAATTCTTCATAAAAAGACTAGAATCATAGGGCTGGAAGGGACATTGGAGGTCTTCTAGTCCAACCCCCAGGGGCCCAAGGCAGGAGTCCTTATTCCATCCCAGACAAATGGTTGTCCAATCTTTTCTTGAAAACCTCCAGTGATGGAGCACCCACAACTCCAGGGGACAAGCAGTTCCATTGATTAGTTGATCTCACTGATGGGAAGTTTCTCTTTAGTTCAAGGTTGAATCTCTCTTTAGCAAACTTCCACTCATCGGGTTTTTGTCCTGCCCTTTGGTGCTTTGAAGAATAAGCCAGCCCCCTGTTCTCTGTGGCTGCCCCACAAGTACTGGATGGCTGCTGTCATGTCACCCCTAGTCCTTCTCTTTATTATGCTTGATTATGCAGTTCCTGCAACCCTTCATCATTTGCCTCCAGACCCTTTATCATCCTCCTGGCTGTTCTCTGCAGTTTCTATGGTCTCAGCATCTTTTTGGTATCATGGCAACCAGAACTGGACACAGTATACCAAGTGTAGCATAAAGTGATAAAAATTAAAATGTAATTATTATTTTTATGGACACCTCCTTGACCTGTACAAAATAAAGATGGATTTTAAATCTATTAGGCATATAACAGCTTAAAATAAACATTCTCCTTAGGGCCTTCCCAGTCTGAATTTTTGCCCACCTCCATAGTTCACCTTGGAGTCCATGTCCACAAAACTTTTACTCTTGCCTAGAAGCTGGTTTTCCAGGAGGAGGGTAACAAATAAATAGGCAAATGTTTCCCAACAATGGCTGAGCCAGTACAATATGTTCTGAGGACATATCAAATTGGGGTGAGAATGTCCTACAAGAGAGGTAAGTGCTAAAGGACAGAAATATTCTTCACTCAGCTTCCTAATTCCAATTATTTTAACTCTTGGGGGAGGGGTGGGGAGGGACCAACCACAAGAACTAGCCCATATTTGGATGAAAGAGAGTTATCAGACCATCACTCATTGAGCCAAAGTTCTCTTCTTCTAAAAACTTCCATGGTGATTTTAGTTACAGAATCCACAATCTAGAAGCCAATTAGATAAATATAATAATAAAATAAAAAATTAAATTAAATTAAAATAATAAAAACAAAATAAAATAATTAAAAATAAATAATTAAAATAAAAAATAAAATAAAATAAATAATAAAATAAAATAAATAATAAAATAAAATAAATAATAACAGAATAAAATAATAAATAATAAAATAAAATAATAAAAGGTTCTCTTTGAGGGTTAACATACTAGATAAATACAGTCTTCTAACATTCCTGTGTTACTTGATACAAGATACTGAAAACAAATTCAAGAAGTGAATTTGGAGTGAAAAATATAGAGTTTCAATCCATCCAGGATGACAAATGAAACAGAAATGGAGGAAGGACTTTCATGATTAGAGATGTGGATTTTTCTCTGTGTGTCTGTTTGTGTGCTATATATTCTAGTGGTAGCATTGCCAACAATTTGTACTGACTAGGGAGTTTACCTTCAGGAAAAGGTAGACTCATAAACTACAAGAGTGACTTAGGACAGGATTTATGGGTTGGGCCTTCCTGCCTATTGGAGAACCGCCTGAGCCCCTCCCCCTCTCAATTTTCAGGGCAGCCGCTGGAATCCTGGACAGGGGTTCAAGGTTTATAAGTGGCTGGTCAGCCCAAGAGATTCTTAATGGAAAATGGATGTCTGGGCTTTGAAAGGGGCCTGTGGGGTGGGGGAGAG